TTACTATGTAGTTACTTTACCATGTAGTTACTTTACCATGTAGTTACTTTACTATGTAGTTACTTTACCTTGTAGTTACTTTACTATGTAGTTACTTTACTATGTAGTTACTTTACTATGTAGTTACTTTACTATGTAGTTACTTTACTATGTAGTTACTTTACTATGTAGTTACTTTACTATAGGTCCCATAATATACACACAAACACACACAGTGTTCACACACACACACACAGTATTCACATACACACGCACGCACAATATCATACAGCCATAATGAATTAATGGATGAAAAAACACAATTAGTAGTTGGAAATGAGGTATTAACACTGGTGATAAATATTGTGTTGCGCTTATACTTATATATTTATTGTGACAGTAAATATATCCATATGTTTATTGTGAAAGTGTATACTTGCAAAGGTTGACCCGAGTGGAGGAGTCTGCTTGTCCATAACGACAAAGTGATGTTGATATGGGAAGGATGGTTGTGGTGGTTTTAGTGGTGATGATGATGGCAGTGGTGATGTGAGTGGTGATTATGATGATAATCCTGATGATGACGATGATGATGTTAGTTGTAGCCTTGGTGACGTTGATGATGATGATGATGGTGATCATGATGGTAGTGATTGTGGTAATGATGATATTTATGAAAATGAGGATGATGGTTATGATGATGATGAAAATGATGATGATGATTATCATTAAGATGGTGATGATGGTTATGATGACAATGGTTGTGACCATGATGACGACGACGGAATGATGATGATGATAACGATGATGAATTGATAATTGGGGTGTATATTTTCTCCTAATATCTGTCTCTAATTTTGCAGGAGAAATCGAACGCCTGCAGAAACACTGGTTGGCCCGAGCCTGCCACAGTAAGAAAGAAACAGGCGTCTCCAGTCACACACTGGGCATACTCAACTTCACCTCAGCCTTCGTGCTTCTAGGCAGTGGCGTTGTACTTGGGGTGCTCATTCTGTTGTTGGAACACATGTACTTTCGCTTTGGGCGCAAGTCTTTGAGAAGACTGGACAAATGCGGATGCTGTTCTTTGGTTAGTCTGGTAAGTGGACTTCATTATAGAATCGTGGAAACAATTGATTGGAAAGCCAGGATTTGAACTCTGAATTTTCTAAGGCACACAGATTTTAGGGCAAAAAATAACTGTCGTAAACATTCCAACAATGCAGTCATTGTGTATGTGGCCACATAGGAATATTTTGTGGCGTTTGCACTGATAGCGAATTATAGAAAAAGAGGCAGAAGTAACCATGAGTAGCTACCAGCAGGGCCTTCAAGCCGGAAAGGTCAAAGGGTAGATAAGAGACAAAGAGAGACACCCTGGTCCACCAGCTTGGGAATTAAAGCTTGGGGCCGACACCCCCACCTTCGTAAAACTGTATCTCGTCACGAAACAGATATCTAAGCATCGAATTCGGATTGATTTCAACGGACAACGAACCTGGAACGATAAAGGACCAAGAAGAAGATGAATAGATAATGTCCAGACAGATCTGCATACACTTGGTGTCCTCTTCATTTGAATTTCAGCTAAAAAATAATGTTGACTGCTTTAAACACCCGTTCTTTGTCCTCTGCTATCAATGAGAGCTATATTGAATATTACAGCTGGCGATTGAGGTTGATGAGATTTGTCAATGAAATATGTTACTGTGATCAGTGAAGGGTAATGCTAGTTCCATTTTACAGGTATTGTCGTTTGGCTGTCTTTTTCTGCGATTGGCCTCGAAATGGCAGCGTGCACCTGATGTTTGGGTTTACAGCTGAAGCTATCTGCGCCTTTCGGTCAAACACACCAGCACACCTCTGTTTAGTCTCCTTTCACGACACCCTTGACAGGGAACCCAGGGTCTATTATTGTTTCACCACATAATGGGGCCACAGAAACCACACTGGAGGCCGTTGGAATTTCAGACTTTTAGTTTAAAAGCTGCCCAAGAGGCGGATAAAAAACGGTTGCTAGTCAAAAAATCAGGTCCAGGTGAAGGCCAAAAGTCCAAGCGGACTTAACCAGTACCTCCTCATACAGCCGGTGTTCGATGACACTAAAAAAAAAAAAGAAGAGTTTAAAAGGCGGATCTTGCTCGGGATGGCTCTCAGTACTGATAGCACAACCTTTTGCTTCGCGTCTTGAGGGTCCTTTGCTTCGCGCCTTGTCGTGGATTTGTTTAACGGAGGCACTGTCCAGGTCACGAGTACAGTTTTTAAGGAGATCCCTGGGCATCGTCACCGCAACTACAGTGTTCGAGCTCTGTGCGATGCTCTCGGCAGGTAGCCAGCCAATCGGCGGAGAGACTGAGCCATATGGTGTCCGTTGCAATGAACTTTATCCTCTCGACTTTACCCTTTTAAATATCGTCTGGAAACACGGAAAGGTACCAGCAACAAGGTTTCACATGGTTTCTTCCATTATCAGAGACACAAAGAGTGCAGTGGAAAAGTAGAAAAAGGCATGATGCTTCAGAGGCCCCGGTTGTTAGCGCAATTTGAATATTTTCTTAGGGTCGTGCAGGTGTTGGGAAACGAACAGAAAGATAATCTGGCTGGAGCTACACCACTAGTAGGTTAACTTGTGCATGACATGATAGATGTGGTCAATGCCTTTCGGGAGTAAGTAAACAATGCGGAAGCATGAACAGATAGATCTTTTAGGTCTGTAGAAAATGATTCAGCGGTAAATGACCAAGGGATCGGCCCGACACCCTCTGCACTCAGAGGAAAGGCAAGACGGGCATACAAACAGACTGCTACTAGTACTGTCGAATATAGAAAATTTTATTCACAGGCAAATCCCAGAAAATGGTGCACTTGCTTTTACAGCGTGGCGAATACGTCGTTTGTAGGTGACATGTTGGATTCCTGCGCGCAACTTGAGCTATCGAATTTTATATTGTTTAGTGTGTCCTTAAATACGAAAGTATACGAGGCGCGAGAGCTGGCGAGAAACCAAGTTTCTTTCAAGCAGACCGTGACAAGAGCGGCGTTCTGCAAAGGAACATCATGACGATGGAGAGTGTCCCTTTCTATTTCTACTTCCTTCTATAATAGTATAAGTAAAGATTCCTTTTACGCCTTGGGCGCATAGGGCATATAGGAAAACTTCCTTCTATGAATGCCAATAAATAAATTATCAGTGTATTCATTATATATAATGTTTCCAAGGCCTCAAGTGTTCCCCATTGGTTCTATTTGTTTTTTTTTTTTTTTTGTGTTTTTTTTTTTTTTTTTTTTGTGTTAAATGTCCAATACTATATTATACTTCATTATGTCATGCATTTACAAAAATAATTACTGGTTCTGTTCAAAGTCGGTGCCTCTGGCATTCTTATTAAATCAAAACACAGAAATGAAGACAGCTGCAAGAACAGCAGTACCATTGAAGATATGCATAAAATAATCAGCAGCTTAGACGAGCGAAAAAACTACGCTTTCTGGGGAGCATACTGTCATAAAATGGAAGAATCAAAGCTAATGTAATAATGCAAATCAAATCATTGCACAAATTTAAACTTTTTTTAGAAGGACAAACAAGTAACTATTGAGCACTGCTTAAGACAGTTTTTTTAAAGCAAACAGTAAAACAGCAAATCAAAGCACTGGACAAATTTCCATTTTTTGGGGTGTCGGGGGAGAATAAAAAAGTTAAGTATTGAGCACTGTTCAATATAATATGTTGTACCACCTTTGCTTTAACGGTCTTAACCGTGAAAATTAACACACACAAACAAACACACACAAACAAGAATATTAACAACAGATACTAGAAATGCCTACGGCGTATGCTAATGATAACTATAAGAGACATGGTCAGAAATGCTCTTATCAGGAAAGAAGTTCCGACGGAACAACTACTAAACTACATCAAGAGACAACAGATCTCAAATGGTTTGGACATGTGTCGAGACTACTACTAGATAATGCACCACTGAAATTTCTGTCACTTAGACATAATGTAATCAGACCAGATGTCGACAACGCAAAACATGGATAGATGGAATATCCGAGCCTGTAAATACGAGCACCTACGTAGCATATACCAGGGTTTTCACCCGACGTCTTTTCAAAATCTGACGCAGAAAAGCAACACAAGGCTAGAGGATGAGAAGAAGAAGAAGAAGAAGAAGAAGAAGAAGAAGAAGAAGAAGAAGAAGAAGAAGAAGAAGAAGAAGAAGAAGAAGAAGAAGAAGAAGAAGAAGAAGAAGAAAAGAAGAAGAAGATGATGAAGAAGATGAAGACGATCAAGAAGATCAAGAAGATCAAGAAGATGAAGAAGATGAAGAAGAAGAAGAAGAAGAGGGTGTATATGTCTTAAAAATACGAACGCGGTTCACAACTCTGCAATAGCAGGTCTGATTCAACTGCAGGCGATTTGGCAGCAGACGGTATTGTGTTAATGTCAACATTGGTAGGGAGCATCGCCCGGTGAGAGTAAATTACAGATTGCTAACTGTAAACATCCTAGTAAAACCACAAACAACCTACAAACTCTGGTTCTCTTCTTCTTCGCGTGAATCGGCTGTATAAACTCTGTAACAAGCAACAACTGTTTAAAACAGAGCGAGTTAAAGATGGACTTCCATCTACTGTAAACTCCGACAGAAAGTTCTAGGTATTCGTCCACCTCCGGACTTTAGTCTTGTTCTAGAACCTGAGTGTTGCGTGCACATCCGTTTCACACATCTGGTTTATTTTTATGGAGCTGATTTGGAGAGTGCAGTACAGATTATGCTACTAATGGTAATTACGACATTGGTAGAATGCAGCAGGGAGCGCCCATGGGATCTGGCAAACATTTAACCCTAAGACTGCTATTGATACAAGCAGAAATAGAACTCTTGCTCCTGAAGATGGTGACAGGGAGCTTTTAAGAATGTCATGAGTACTGCGATATCGGTTCTTAACTCAACTCAGCTCAACTCAGTTAACCGATTTTTTTTTTTTTTTTTTCAAAAACATTTTAGAGCATGGGTCAATCATTGACCTTCGAGCAGTCAGTGATGGAGGCCATGGATTACCACAAACATCACCGGTGTAAAGATCCTCTTTGTGAGACTCAGCTGTGGAAGGTCAAGCATGATCTGGACATAGCCCTTCTGAAAATCTCTCAGTTACGTCGACAGCTTGCGTAAGTTTCTTATTAATGCCCTGAGAATCTAAGTAAGTAAAGTGAAGGACCACTTTCTTGCCAAAAGGGCATCTGGCGTATGATGTTAAACTCTTCTTTCTATAGACCGATCAGCCCTCAGTCTGTTATGTTGTCAACTTTACTACCCAGGACTTTACCTGGGATAAAATGGCAGTGCAATAGAACAGATAGAAAATGCATACATTTAAAGATTAATTTAGCGGAGAGTGAGTAGAAGTTCTGGAAGATATTTAACACAGAAAGGGGCGGGGGGGGGGGGGAGAGAGAGAGAGAGAGAGAGAGAGAGAGAGAGAGAGAGAGAAAGGGAGAGGGGGGATAAGCGAAATCCGGTTGCAGCTGATAGTATTAGCATCTCCTTGTTGGCTACTGAGATAGGACACGGAGCACCTGTGGGAATGACCTGAGTGCAGTGATGTTAGTTCTCGACTGGTTCATGCATTTATGCCTGGTACCCATTTGTATCGACAATTTAAGTTTCTTTAGAACTTGTTTACAATGTGTTCATAAGGTTTTAACCGACGTGGTATTTGTTAGTTAGTCAGTCAATCAGTCAATCCGTTAGTTAGTTAGTTAGTTAGTTAGTTAGTTAGTTAGTTAGTTAGTTAGTTAGTTAGTTAGTTAGTTAGTTAGTTAGTTAGTTAGTTAGTTAGTTAGTTAGTTAGTTAGCTATCTAGCTAGTTAGTTAGAGTTTAGTTTAATTAATTAGTTAGTTAGTCAACAAGCTTTCCTCGTCGCAGGTAGAACCATTTCATCCATAAGTGCTTGAATCTTCTCATTAGTAAATCCCGCAGCGTGTAGCGGCTCATGACATCAGATCTTTGTTGGTTTCTTGTTCTTCTTTGCCCTTCTGCGCAGTGCTCTTGTCTGGCCACACCCCTCTTAACATGTTGTTAGGACAATGTAAATTTGTCCGGAACATGTTATAACCCTTCAGATTTAATCACTAATCTGCTCTGTTTTAGTTTGTTTACATTAACCTTCTTGTGTCCTATAGTTACTATTCAACTCCCCAGTCCTAAACATGTATTAATACAACAACTGTTTGAAACAGAGCGTGTGAAAGCAGCATCTGCTTGTTTTTATTCTTCTTCGCGTTAGCCGACAGTAAACTTTAGTGTAAAGTTGTTTTTGTTCATAATCTTCTGTAATTTAGTTCTGTAACTTGAATTTTGCATGCACATCCGTTTTAGATATATGTCCTATTTGTATGCAGACTGTTGGTTCCTCACCTATCAAGCCGATGCACTCCGCAGAAATTGCCCGTAATTAGTCGCCTTTCACCAACTGGGAATGCTTCTTACTGAAAGAGTTAACTACAAACGTAACACACATTACTAGCAAAAGTCTAAGCAATGGTATAGAAATGTTATAAATAGCAACATGCATTAATTACATAGAGAGAAAAAGAGAGATGACAAAATGACTCAGTCGATAACAATTAGACAGTAACAAAATGTGCTGTTCCATTATTGTGTCTGTTGTTAACTAAAACGGTTATTAAAATCACTTTTGTATACTTTATCTTGGTAATGATCTAACAATTTCCTGGTAAATTTAAAAACAGACATGCTAAGCCAAGCTTTCATTTCATCCCAGACCAGATTCATCTGTGTCGATGTTGGTCTTCGTTCTTGAGTAATTTACGCTTCTTTTATTCTTATTCTTCTTCTTCTCTTCTTCTTCTCGATGTTGATTAGTTCTTCTTCTTCTTATTCCTGTTCCTCTGCTAATATTGTGTGTGAGTGTGTGTGTGTGTGTGTGTGTGTGTGTGTGCGCGTGCGTGCGTGCGTGCGTGTGTGTGCGCGTGTGCGCGCGCGCGTGCATCCGTTTCTTCTCCTCGTTCTTGTCCTCCTCCATCTTCTTCTCCTTCTTCTTCTTCTTCTTCTTCTTCTTCTTCTTCTTCTTCTTCTTCTTCTTCTTCTTCTTCTTCTTCTTCTTCTTCTTCTTCTTCTTCTTCTTCTTCTTCGTTTTCTTTTGTTTTTCTTCGACGTCTTCTTCTCCTCTGCATCTTTCTGTTTGTTCTTGTTCTTTTTCTTTTTCTTCTTCGTCTTCTTTCTTCTTCTTCTTCTTCTTCTTCTTCTTTTTCTTCTTCTTCTTCTTCTTCTTCTTCTTCTTCTTCTTCTTCTTCTTCTTCTTCTTCTTCTTCTTCTTCTTCTTCTTCTTCCTTCTCCTCCTTCTACTAATGTAACCGGAGACTAGTAGGTGACATATTTTAGTCATGGATATGATGTAGCTGGAGATGCGTTTTAGATGTTATGCTGGAGCAGGAGACCTACTTTAGATGGCCCACTGTTAAAGTTATGAAGTTAAAGTTAGTTATGTTTCCTTTGCAGGACGCTACGGAACAGACCCCAATATTTTTTTTTTTCTGTTGTGGTGTTTCCAGACAAATTTACGTCCAGAAGTTTGTCATTTTTTTTTGGAAAGTCAACTTTTCAATACCACTGACAAAACCAATGCCAGACACTAGGGCCGCAGCTGGGATCGAACCTGGCACCCCGGTTCGAAGCGCATTCGCAACGCATAACCCACATACTAATTAAAAATCTTCGCCGTCGAGGTAGGCGCAAGAGGTCTTATCTCCAATTTAACGTACAATGTGCTAAACCAGCTGGGTTTGAAGGCAACAAGCGTGAACGATCACTTAAACAACTGGGTAATGCTGCTGAAAGAGCTAAGACCTGGCTCCGGACGCAACAGAACGTTGTGGGCGATGGGCCTCTGTAGAATGGTCCGAGTCCCTAGCAGAAAAGAGCTTCGTATCCCTTAAAAGCCAAAGTGTTCGATAAATGTCTGCCGGTGTTTCTCTGGCAATGGCCAAAGTCTAACAAATGTCAGATTAAACAACAGTCAACTGATCTAATTTGCTACCGCAGCGAAAATCATCATCATCATAAACCTTTTCTGCCATTAGGCGACGTGGGGAGGAATAATGTGCGACTGGCTATTGTCATGCCGTGAAGGCGTAGAGTGTCTTTAATGCTGTCGATCTATATTTCGCGGCCATCCTCTTGCTCTTGTAGCTGATCTTCTTAGATATGTGCTTGTGATAGTATTTGATCTTGCTGCATTCTAACGAAATGGCCAAACCACTTGATCTGTTGTTTCTCGATGAATCTAGTACAAGGTGTTGTTCCCACAATTTGCCTGGTAGTTTGATTATTCACTCGATCTCGGATGGTTAGGTTGGCTGCTTTTCTCATGCACCTCATCTCGCAGGTGGTGATTTTGTGTATATGATCTTTAGATAGTGTCAATGTTTGACACTGGTAGCTTAATGTTGGAATGAATATGCTGTTAATAATCTGTCTCCTTGCACTTATAGTTATGCTTGGATGAATTAATAATGGTGACATTTGGTATATAAGTGCACTTGCTTTCTGACATCTGGTTTCTATTTCTCTGTCAATTCTATCATCTTATGTGATCATACTTCCTAGATATTTAAACTCCATAACTTGATTCAGAGCAGAACCATTCAGCTGTGTGTGTAGTGGGGCAGAGGTTCTACTAACTTGCATCGTTTCGGTGTTGTTTGCATCTATCTTCGTGATATATTTCCTGCATGATTAGTTTAACCTATTGATCTGGTCTTGCAGTCTATTTTCTTCAGGGTAGAACAAGCACTGGTCCTCAGCAAATAGTAATTCGTTTAATGTGGGTGAATCGATTACTTCTCCTGATGTGTGTACTTCCTCATGATTATAACGTTCTATTTTGTCTGCATCAGAACTTGCCTGCAGACCACATAGACCTTTATAATCATGATAAAAGACCAAATCTAACAACATATGTTACAAAGTAACCATATCATCTTGTCATTGTCTAGTCCGATAAAGTGCCGCAGGAGAACATCGGGGCCTGGCTTCATGACCCAGGTCGGCCCACCATTTGAGATTGTTTAGAGAAGCAATGTAACGAAACAATTGTCCACAAAGTATCTCTGCTGATGACAGCTGGACCCCTGCCGTGTGTGCTTCCGTGTCGAGTTCTTTTTATTACTTTATAAATTCATTGCTTTATCTTTTATAGTAATTGCTATCATAATTAGCATTCCTAGCTGACTGTTAAAGGCGACTGTAATTTTCTTATATATATATATATATATATATATATATATATATATATATATATATATATATATATATATATATGTGTGTGTGTGTGTGTGTGTGTGTGTGTGTGTGTGTGTGTGTGTGTGTAGTTTAAATCTATATCTATATTTTTTTGTTAAACTTTTCAGTTACACCGCTTCTGCTAATTCTGCGAAAGATTATGACTACGGTGCATCGTTTGACTACGACAAAGGAGGTTCTCCTTACCAGAACGGCCAAGCACGAAGACGAAGACAGCAGGCCAATGATGAAAGCCAGGACAAAACAGAACCCTTCTTGGTGCAGCCGCTGCTAGCCTTGGAAGGGAAGAGTGATACAGACGAGGACAACACCCCAGTACATTCACCAAACCACAAAGTTCTTCCTTTTTCTTCCAGATCGTCCTTTCCTGTTGCTAAGAAACCTGTTGAGAATGACAACATAATGAAAACTCGGTACTCATACCCGGAGCAAGCAGGTCCACTTGTCAATACAAGAAGATCCTCTGAAGATCGTCCAGTCAAAAGAAATTCTATTGGACAACGGAATCATAAATATTCAGATGATGACGTCATTGATCTTGAATTGCGTCTGCCGCCGCCATCATTTGATGAGGTTATGTCGAGGTATACATCGTACCCCACAGACGATACTACGACACCGTCTCCATCCCCACCTCTTCCATCGCCACCATCTTCGCCGCCTCCTCCAGCAGCACCGTCGCCACTACAGCATAGTCCTCAAGACCTATCTGGTTCTACCACAAGCAACTCTATACCATCCTCGGGTAATAAACGGTATGAACCCTTTATACTCGACAGTCCCGAATCGCCGTCGTTCTCCTCGTTTTCGGATACCTCAGAGAATCGCTTGTTATGCCCAGGAACTCTTTCTAAGCTTTCAGATGAGGTGCCCTCCAGCGCTTTATCACAAGATGTTGACTCTAATTTCAACTCCAGCCCTGATATCTCTAAGTCTCTGGACGAAAGCAGCAACCTCCCATTTGTTGGTTACTCTGATGGTCAGTTACCCAGGCAAAACAAACTTCCAGCGTCTTCTGTGGACAATGCGAAACCTTCAATTGTCAGTGCAGACCATAAGACAGACACACAGCTGTCGCTCTTAAACTCTTTAAAAGAAGCAGATAACGACGTAAACACTAGACAGACTAGAGATGCTGACAGTAGTATTTACGTCAATGTAGATGAAATTGGTGGCAAGGAAACGGCTTTTTAACTTAAGCCTATTTACTTTCTAAAAGGTTGCTTACAGGGACATTTATCCAGGTACCTCGACATTTTATTTTTGCCTACATGTATCAAAGTACTAAACACAGATTCTTCTTTAATTTATGTTGAAAATGAAATATATTAATCCAACTCCTTCCATTGAACCGTAACTGATATGGAAAGCATTATACACATATGACTCCATACATTATGGTACTCATTAACACTTTGTAAAATAATGTTACATGACTATGTCAGTTGTGAGGAAAGGTTCCTTGCCTGACACAACGAACAGCGTGTGTGTGTGCGTGTGTGTGGGGATCTTTTTGTGTGTGTGCTAGTTATTAGACGTAAGGCCAACTAACAATAACACTTCTTCTTCTTCTTCTCTTCCACCTTGTACCTCATCGAAGTGTCGGGGGGAGATGTAACAATAACACTGCAAAGCAATAATTGTGTTCAAGTGTATTGTGACGGTCACTAAGATGATCTGTAGCAATGTGATACTGTCCAGTATTTTATGATTTGTTTAACAGTGAAGTATTAGAAGAGACAGTCTATTAAATTTCATGTGAAAGGGAAAGGAAAGAGAAAGAAAGAAAGAAAGAAAGAAAGAAAGAAAGAAAAGAAAGAAAAAGAAAAGAAAGAAAGAAGAAAGAAAGAAGAAAGCGAGAGAAAAGAAAAAAAAAAGAAAGAAGACAGAAAACAGAAAGAAAAAGAAGAGAAGACAGAAAAGAGAAGACAGAAAGAAAAGAAAGACAGAAAAAGAAAGAAAAGAAAGACAGAAAAGAAAGAAGAAAGAAAGACAGAAGAAAGAGAAAGAAAGATAGAAAGAAAAGAAAGAAAGAAGAAAGAAAGAAAGAAAGAAAGAAAGAAAGAAAGAAAGAAAGAAAGAAAGAAAGAAAGAAAGAGAGAAAGAGAGAGAGAAAGAGAGACAGAAAGAGAAAAAGAGAGACAGAAAGAGAGAAAGAAAGAAAGAAAGAAAGAAAGAAAGAAAGAAAGAAAGAAAGAAAGAAAGAAAGAAAGAAAGAAAGAAAGAAAGAAAGAAAGACAGAAAGAAAGAAAGACAGAAAGAAAGAAAGACAGAAAGAAAGAAAGACAGAAAGAAAGACAGAAAGAAAGAAAGAAAGAAAGAAAGAAAGAAAGAAAGAAAGAAAGAAAGAAAGAAAGAAAGCCATTTTCTAACCGTCAGATCCTCACCTTCACATAAATGCCGGTTACACCCAGCTGGTATCGACATTACGGTGTCATAATTATAACCTCTTTGGAGGCTGAATGTGGTGTCAGCGATATATCTTGTTTAATCCTAGGACTGTTTGATAAACCTTGACCTAGCAGCCTGGATAGGACAAACCGATCGATCGACTTAGTTTTTGCAGAAATACACTGATATCCCGGCTAACGACGGTAAGGTATTCTACACCTGAAATAATTCCGCTCACAGCGCAGCTCTGCAATTTTTAGCGGGCACAAACTTAAAACATTCGCTAGTCCAAGCCAAAAAAAAAAAATGTGAAAATATCCTTATAATCCGGGACATTCGTTGGTCGAGGCATCACTGCATGCTGTAGTGTTCTTGATTTTTGTACTTAGTTTTAGGTTTAGACGGCAGATCAGCGTCATGGCACAAGGATAGCAACCCATGAGTGCTATGTTCTACTTCTAACTCAAATTTGAGTCCGAAGTGTCTCAGCGCAGTGCACCATCACCGCATCACCGGGAGGATTCTTAAATACTTTTTTTTTTCTCAGATACTTATATTAAAGTATTAGAATGGCGCTAAGTTTATTTGTGATATCCTGTTTATGTGTATGTTAATGTCTTTCAACTTTGAAAATGCTAACGAAATGCTGGATGAAGAATTCGTTTGATGAACGTTGTGTTTTTTAATCTTCACCATCCCCCTTGTAGAGTGCAATTTTTCATTATTTTGAAGCCCCATCCTGGCTGTTGTCGGGGGCCATAATATAACCTAACGGTTGAACCGGGTTTCCCTGACCTCTCCACGGGTGATCCTTATATACGTGGTGGAAATTTATGTCACCGGGTGTTTATCGCTCTGTGTGATGTCCTGGTGGGGTAAAATTTTCTTACTTACTTACGTTGTGTTTCAAAGAAAAGAACTTATTCATTGAACTGGAAACGTAGATCTAAGCACACACTAAGTATATCTATAATCAGGGCATCAGAAGCAGAAGAAAATAAGGGACGGGAATGTCGTACTGTGGGGTCATCAGAAAACAATTGGAGTCTTTATTATACCAAACAGTTGTTACAGTTTATATGTTTATTAATATGCTAGGCTTAACAAGGAAAGATCGAATTAGGAACGATGATATCAGGAGAAGAGTTGCAACAGAACCAATATTGAATTTGACCGGTAGACAACAGATCAACTGGTTTGGCCACGTAAAAAAAATTGGCACCAAGCAGGCCAAGAGAGAGCAATGTTATACAGATATAACGGTAACAGAGCCAGAGATGGACGCAGAAGATGGATAGCAGAAAGATCGGACACTGGAAAGGGCTATATACGAAGCGAACAGAAGAGCCCATTCCATAGATATCTTCCTGAATAATGTTGCGAGGCATTCTAGGAGTTGAGAAAAGAAGAAGCTGTTTTTAAATTATGACAGTGGAATAGCTATTTATAAATGATACTTTTTTATTCTTCTTTCTTTTGTCAAAATCTGCTTGTGCCGATAGGCATCGCAGTCTATCAGGTGATCGGCAACCGAGCCAGGGCGCGCTCAGTCGCTTCATATGCCGTGATGTTATGAAGTCTCAAGTTGTCTGTGACTCCTTCAATCCATATTCTTCTTGGTCTTCCCTGCCTCTTGGTGTTTCGATTTTCATGTTGTATGCTCTTGATGCTGGCATCGTTGGTTCCAGTCTCATTAGGTGACCAAACCATTTCATTCTTTGCTTCTCAATAAATTTAACGATATGTATGGTTCCAACAGTTCTTGTAATCACATTGTTTCTCACTCGATCTCTTCTGGTTTTATTCGCAGCCATTCTCAAACATCTCATTTCACAGGTGGTTAGTCTTCTCTCGTGTTTTTTTGTTAATGTCCAAGTCTGACATTGATAACCTAATGTCGGTATAAAGATTGTATTTATAATTTGTCTTTTTATCTCAGCTGGGACAGCGGGGTGTTTTAAAATTGGGGCAAGCTGGTATGCGACATTGTTGGCTTGTTGAATTCTTGCTTCGATCTCTCTGTCTATTTCACCATTGAATGTAAAGATACTTCCCAAGTATTTAAATTCTTGCACTTGTTTTAGGCTGTGATCTAGAATCTTTATGTCGATGGTCTGTTGCTCTGTGCTTATGCTCATGACTTCTGTCTTTTCAGTATTGATCTTCATATGATGCTTGAGGCAACTGTCGTGTAGTAGGTTTATGTGGTCTTGCAGCTGTTTACTATCACTGTGAAATATGCATTGATCGTCGGCAAAGAGCAGCTCATTGAAGTCCTCCTGTTTATCGACATCTGTTGGTGTTATGTCTAGTTTATTATTATTGTCCATAAATATTATGAAAAGTAAAGGTGATAACTTTTTTATTACATACAGTTATCTCAAACACTAGTCTGGCCCAAATGTCTTAAAGTGAGAATCGAAGCAGACTGTCAGAACTCTGCAACATTGACGACATCTGGGACAATACTGAGGCAGAAAACTGTAGTAGTTCATAAATTTGCTGGTGGGCTACAAAATTGTTACATAACGCTTATCCCCTGACAATCTTTTGTTGTCCTTTGTATGTGTGTGTGTGTGTCGAGAAGGGGGGGGGGGTTATATGGCTGGGTGGTGTGGGATAATAGACCTACTGATACTTATAAAGCGTGTCGTAAAAGGTAACTAATTAGAATTAAATTAGTACTGAAAACATGATTGATACTAATTTGCACTGTCAATGTCTATAGGTTATATTTCACTTTAAAAATTGTCATCTGCGAATAACAATGTGAGCGTTGCGGCTAGGGAGTCTTCGCCGGCAATCAACAGAGCGGAAAGTTGTACATTTAAAAAAATTCTTGGCGTTAAAATAAAATTTAAAAATTTAGAAGCTGAAGTTCACATGTGAAAAGACGCTTGTTATCAGTAAGCCTTTTTTTTTTTTTTTTTTCAAAAAGTGCGTGGAAATTCTTTTCGGAACAGATTGGTGTTGAGGCTGATGGCAGGTGGGAGAAGCTATCTCACTCCTGACTCACGTGGCCGTCTTTCGGACAGTATGAGTGCTTCGTCATAAACTAAGTACCGTTAATGGTAACAGTGTCTCGTTTTTTTTTTTTTTTTTTTTTCAGCAAGGGTGCAGAAGTCCGCACCCGGAGAGAGTCCGAAATATAAGCGGGTTTAAACACCTCTCATAGCCTGATCACTGGAAACTCCTGTTTTGTCTGTCTGTCTGTCTGTACCTACCTACGTACGTATGTATGTATGTATGTATGTATGTATGTATGTATGTATGTATGTATGTATGTATGTATGTATGTATGTATGTTGTACCCCACCAGGAGATCACACAAAGCGATAAACACCCGGTGACACAAAGTGCCACTATGCGGATGAGGATCACCCGTGGAGAGGTCCCAGAAACCCCTTTCAGCCGTTAGGTCATATTTATGGCCCAGTTTTATTTAGGGCCCCCGGTAAAAGCCTCAGTGAAAAATTGCATCCCAGGTGAGGACAGCATGGTTAACAGTCACTCGTATTGTTTGTTCCTCCGTTGAGTACATTCTACTTTCTCTACATTGCTAAATTAATGTGTGTTTTTTTTTTGTGTGTGTATTTTTATCATTGTTTTATTGTTTGCCGATGAAGACTCGAGCCGCTTTATTTTCGTAATTGTAATTCATCGAGAATCTTACTAGTTTTAGAAGTATATTTTGTTGTGGACTTTTTTTTTTAAATTTAATTTTTATTTTAAGCTAGTGAATTATACAACAGTAACAAATAATTAACTTAGGTCCCTCCCCCTTTTTTTAAAATTTAACTAAG